TAGCCAAACTGAACTCCATTAGAATCCTACTCTCCATTGCAGCAAACCGAGACTGGCCCCTTATGCAACTTGATGTCCAAAATGCATTCCTTAATGGAGATCTTGAAAAGGATGTATACATGGATTTACCGCCTAGTCTTGAAAGGTCCTTCCCTACTGGCAAAGTAGCCAAAGTATGCAAGCTCCGGAAATCTCTGTATGGTCTCAAACAATCTCCCCGTGCTTGGTTTGGCCGATTCACCAATTCAGTAATTAAGTGTGGTTACACTCAAAGTCAAGCTGATCATACAATGTTCACAAAAAGATCCGAGAAGAAGATTGTTGTACTTATTGTGTATGTTGATGACATCATTCTTATCGGTGATCACACTAAAGAATTGATAAAGCTGAAGAATTTTCTAGCCCGTGAATTTGAAATCAAGGACCTCGGAGACTTGAAGTTCTTCTTGGGAATGGAAGTTGCAAGATCCAAAATGGGGATAGCTGTAACTCAAAGGAAGTACACATTGGACCTATTGAAAGAAACTGGCATGCTTGGATGCAAACCAATAGATACTCCAATAGACCCGTATAAAAAGATTGGAATGGAGAATGATAGTTTACATGTCGACAAAGGACGATATCAGCGACTTGTTGGAAGACTTATTTACTTATCCCACACCAGACCAGACATAAATTTTTCAGTAAGTATAGTAAGTCAATTCATGAACTGTCCTACTGGGAAACATATGGGAGCTGTCAACCGTATCTTAAGATACTTAAAGATGACACCTGGGAAAGGATTATTATTCAAAAAGAATGATAGTCAAAAGATAGAAGTCTTTACTGATGCTGACTGGGCAGGAGATATATCCACCCGACGATCAATCTCTGGGTATTGCTCTTATTTATGCGACAATCTAGTGACATGGAGAAGCAAGAAGCAATCGATGGTATCTCTGAGTAGTGCAGAAGCAAAATACAGAGCACTAGCGCTTGGTATCTGTGAAGGAATGTGGATCAAAAAATTTCTCAAGGAGCTTGGAATTATGGGAGAAAATTCTATCAAGATGTTCTGTGACAATCAAGCTGCAATCAGTATCGCAAAGAATCATGTTCATCATGACTGAACGAAATACATTGAGATTGATCAGAACTTTATTTCAGAGAAGGTGGACAATTGAATCATTGAATTGGTCTATACTCCTTCTAGAGACCAAACAATAAACATTCTCACCAAGGCTCTCCCTAAGTCCAGTTTTGATGAGCTAACCAACAAGTTGGGCATGCACAATCTGTACAACCCACCTTAAAGGGGAGTGAAAAATTACGCTCCTTATTATTATTTACTTTAATTTTACTTAGTACTTGTTATATTTAGTCATAGTATAAAAAGAATAATTCTTTAATTATGGGTATTTATATTTATTTCATAATTATAGAAATTACTTAATTATAGAAAGATTTCTTTCCTCTTTTTATCTCTTATACTCGCCTATTTATAGATGAATTATCTATGTATCCAGGTGAGAAAAATGATTATTCAAAATTCATAAAATTTTATCACATGAAAAAACAAAAAACAGTTTGCGGTTGCCCAGAACAGTGCTAAAGCTGAATTCCGGTCCATTATGTGGGGATCTGCGAATCCCTTTGGTTACGCAGCATGCTCCATGAATTTCGTATGTCAACCTCCGTCTCGTTGCAGTTATTTTGTGATAATAAGTCCGTCATCAGCATTGCTCACAATCCAATCCAGTATGATCGTACGAAACATGTGAAAATTGAGAGACACTTCATTTAGAAAAATATTGAGTCCGAGGAGAATTGTTTTCCTTTTCTGACCTCCAGTGGTCAATTAGCAGATATCATCACAAATAATCTTCATCGTCCATTGTTCGATGACTTCAAATCCAGATTGAACATGATCGACATATATACTTCAACTTGAAGGGAGTAATAGATTTATTAGGTTTCCATAGCAATTATTATTTATTAATTCTCCTTCTTCTGCATTATGTAGTTTCTTTTTTATCTTTATTCTATTTTTATTTCTTTGATCATTTTTTTTATTTGTTTCCTTGTTTAAGTCCATTGTGATTGGGTATGTTGCCTTGATCACCAATTCAACAACAAGAATAATAATAATAATAGATAATTCATAAAAAAATTAGATTTTGAAATGCTCATTTGATTCATCTTGATTCATCTACTAAATCAAATTGATGTGTTTAGACATACCATTGAAAGTAAGGAAATCTTCAAATTGACATGTACTCTCAACTATCATCCTAATTCATATCGATCTAGATAAACTGTGTCATGTTTTGTCATCCAATTAAACTCCTTGCAAGGTTTATGACAATAACACAGTTTGAATCCAAAGGAATGCTCTGCCAGGATAAAAAAGGGTGTAACAAAACACTACTTCGTAAACCCCTACCACGAAGACTGATGGCTATGATTCTGAATGCAAAAAAAGTTACTTGACTCGGGAAATTAAGGTTGTCATCTTCATATTAGAAGAATAAAAAAGTATAAGGGGATTGTCATCTTCATATTAGAAGAATAAAAAAGTATAAGGGGGTAACTAATGTGACATAATAGAAAACCAAAGAAAAATTCATTCAAGTGAAAAATAGTAAAGAATCAGTGGAATGAGACGATCAAAGTTCATCCTAAAGGTGATTTAGAGAGGTTTGGACATTAGGTATATGCCTATGAGGACGTCCTACATAATGCGGATGTATGAAGACTAAAAACTAATCGCCAATGCAGGTCTACGAAAATAGCAACTCCCTCTCCCAACCCAAAGGCAGTGAAATATTATCAAAGTTCAGAGAAATCAAATTTCGCGGAAAAGTTTTGGCAGGAAGGATATACATTAACAGATTCAAAACATGTTCAGAAAGCAGCAAAACATAATAATCCCAAACTAAGAAACAGTAGCAATTTTCCACCGCCTGAATGTATTAATTTCTATCAAATTTGAAGGACTCAAGGATAAGTAACAAACCATCAAAATCTTCATCATTGTCAGACAAGAGGGGAAAATCCAGCCAAGTCTCTGGATGGCAGGCGATGTTTCTTGCAAACGCCAAAACCTCATCAGTAACACCAATGACATCACTGAAATCCTCGTACTCTTCTTCCACCTCTTCCTCCTCAACTTGCTCCAGCTCCTCCTCCTCCTCCTCCTCCTCCTCCTCCTCCTCCTCCTCCCGAAACGACAGAAAGGTAGAGGCGATCTTCGAGATGCCGTTAATAGCGACGTTATTGGAGAGTCTAGTGATCCCGGTCTTAAGGGTACCTCCAATTTCTGCGAAATCGCTGCGGATTCCCGCAGTCCTCGACGATTCAAAAGAGTCCGCTAGCTCTGAATCACCGGGAATTGTCGATTCTTGCTGCTGGCTGTGTAACGACGGCGAAGTCTCGGCGGAATAGTAGATTCTGGGAGAGGAGGTGGGCGTTTGTGAAGAAGGGGAAGGAGCGAGAAAGGAAGCCACACCCCATAACTTACTACTTATGGCTTTGGTGAAGTCCGCGAAATCTTCCTTAACACGTCCCCTCGGAGATCGCTGCTCGATCGGCTCCTCCACTTCTCCCTCCCAGGCATCGCTGGACCTCTCCATCGCACAAGAAAACACACCGGAGAGCCCTTTGATCGCTCACATATAACACATCCCTCATCAAATTGGTCGCCGCCGGGCCGACATCTCGAGCAAAATTACATCCATCCATCACCGTTCATTTTCTTGCCCACAAAAGGCCAGCTAGATGGATTCTCCGGACAAAAACAATTACTTATTTATTCTTACATCAAACTCTTAAACTTTTGAGTTATTTACATTTCAATGTCCCCAAACTCTCATGTCTTCATATCAAGAATCCCGAATATTTTATTTACGGAGGGATGCCTTCGTCCAGCCTCCACGCGTAAATAAAACATTTGAAGCTTCTAATGATATATTGAGTTGAATTTGTTAGTTTGTATCTATTTTTTTAATATGATTTATAGTGGATTTCTTTTATTTTAGACAATTTCTTGATAAATTAAATGATGAAAATTTTATGTACATTTATAAGAGTATGGGGGGAGTAGACTATTGGCAATGTTAAAATACCATACAATTTATTTTTATTTGCTTTTATCAATTTTAAAAAATTTATTATAATTGTAATTAATACGCATAGGAGCTCCTATCAGTTATACTCGTATAATAATGGTATAATGAACATTTGTGAGAATTAATTCTTTTAAACTTTTGCATGCATTGCATGAATAGTAGGTTGTCTAAGAAGATTTCATGTTTGATACTATTTTATGATGAAGAATTATGAGTTTTTTAGTATTTCACTCTCACATATGTGAGAATATTCATTTTAAATAGATTTTGGAGTTCATATATGATGTAAAAATTAGAATTATATATATATATAATTTAATGGAACAGTAAATTTTGCTAAACCCTAGCAGAGCAGCAGCTGCCAAACATCATCTCTTTATATGTATTTATGTATGCATCTATATATATATATATATATATATTAAATACATCATATCAATAATTATAAAATATTCAAGTTAACATATTACTTAAAATATCATTCACTATAATTAATTAAACTAGGTTTGTGTTGATTAGGTTTAGATTTTAGTTTCTTGATTTAATTAAGAAAATCTATAATTTAGCATGATTAGTTCAAAATTTAAATTGACAATCTCTATAACTTAAATACATGAAAAAAATAAAAATATATTTTTGTTGTTTTTAGCTTTAACCTTTTTGTTTTTTCTTTCGATTTTATATTTCAAATTTAGTATTTTTTTTTACTTTTTTTTTATACAAAATAGCTTTATATTTTGTTAGCAATAATCTTTTATTAGATATTTATAAGTTCTTTTTTAAGTTATGTCTAACATTTAAATTACCACCCTTCCAATATGTATCTCGAATGGTAGAATTAAAATCTTCATAAAGTACTCTATTAAATTAGGTTGTCTAAATTATATTTTTATCACAAAAATATTTAAAGTACCACCTTAAGCTTATAGAGTCAATAATGAATATAAAAAATGATCAAATGGGAATGATACATAGCATAAATAATTGTACTAAACCTTAAATTATCTCTTATAGAATTGTACTAAAATTTTACTTGGTATAGAAAAAATTGAGATGCTTCTTTTCACTATGAAAAGCTCGAGTAAGAAAATTATGGCTTAATTTTATAATCTTGTATCACCTATGCTCTTTCAATGGCTTTGTTTTAATAGATTTGGGCTAGCAATTGAGAGCTACAATTAAGCTACATATGATTGCATGAATAGGATGGAGAGACCCATCAACTACTCACTATAAAATGTGAATGGTGACTAACTTAAATAGAAACTTGAACTTGTGGTCACATGAATGAGAAAGAGATTCTAGAGATCATGAGAAAGTTGTCATATAGTCATCAGATCAAGATCAATTTCACTTCCACATGATATTTGATAAATATTATGGCATGATCTTGAAACTATCATTATACTTAATTATTTAAAATAATGATAATTTAATATTTTAAATTATCAAATTTCAAGCTAACATTTATTAACCTCATATCAACAACCTCAAAATTTTTTTTCCAGTATGCACATGTATAGTGAATATTATTATCATCAAGCTACTTTCTAAAACATTTTCCATTGTTTATTTTATTTTTTATTTTTAGTAGATGGGCTTAAATTACTTTGGGCGATCAATGGCCCCGCATTAATTCATATTGCCATAAAGCCTTTTTCTTTAGCGGCACTTAAGGTGTTAAGATAGTCTGGGCCGGGCTCTAGCCCGAGCGAGTGTGCAAAGGATATGCTCGGTATGCATACACAAGCCTAATTGCTAAACTTATATATATATATATATATATATACATATGTATATGTATCGTATGTTAGTAATGATAAATATTTTGAATTAGATTTAAATACTTTTTACGCATTATACAAAGCATTTTATCATATTCTGCTAATTCGGCTGCCCATTTTAAGCACTTTTTAAAAAGAATTTAGGCTAAAACTTTTTATGAGCATTATGCCACATGCTTTGGAAAAATATTACGTTCGTCTTTTAGAAATGCTGAAGATAACATACATCCCACCACAACGTGCTTCCAACGGCTTGGTGCGTTCCACAGCATTGACTACATGCGTCTGGTTTACTGGAATTTATACTTACCCCATGACTTGAGATGTTATGATCGGTGTGTGCTCTATCGCATATAAGCACAAATCTTGATGTAATAAGGCCGAGATCACAATTGAATATTTAAAACTTATATAGAAAAAAATGAAAATAATGGTAAAATTAAAGGGCACGCAGGATTGACAGATTCCTTCATCCATAAAACCAAGAAGCAAGAGACTCGCACCCACCTGAGCGGTCCTTTCCATTGGTAGTTCCGCTGCTGAGAGCAGCTCCGCCAAATGGGTCCAATTAGCAGGCAATGGTGCGCATCCGACCCCACCACCACCTGCACTTGTAGTACCACTCTCTGCAGCGGTCGTCGCCACATCGCTACGCAGGTCCTGTAGAGTGCGGTCGAATAACTCGCGATACAATACAATAAAGAGAGACAGGGCCATGGCTTACTCACATTCTCAAACAAGTATTCCTCTTTCTCGTCAACTGGAGCCGATTAGAGCGCTGGATGGCAGGCAAACCATGGGAAATACGTGGATGGAGCAGCAGGTAGCCCGTACAGAGCCATCTGAGGCTCGATCTTTGAAGAGCTCCGAAGATTTTCATGGCGCAAATTCGAAGCTGTTTGATTCTGGTTCTAAGAATTGCGAACGTTGTTTGATCAAAGTCAAGAAGAACAGTGTAACCAAATGGATTTCAGTGAAACTTGCACGTGCTGTCAACAACAACTATCATCAAGCTCGATTTTCTTCGTCACCAAGTCATAATTTTACGACGCCACTTTTCAAGACTCTGCTTTAAAGCGGAAATCAATAAACGCCGGCTAATCTTGTTAATATTATTGTAAACATATTACTATGGCCTAACTCACGAAAGGGAGCGTTATCGTTTTGATTTCAAAATAATTGAAGATAGAATAATAAGTAAGTTGGCGTGTACGTAGAAATTGAACTTTAGGTGTTATGTATGTAAGTAAATTGGAATCGAACAGTATGTATGTATATCTTCCATAATTCATTTGTAGAGATTATACACTCATCTGATTTGTTTAAGGGTGTGTTTGGGCCGGCTGTTGCTTTTCCGAGAAACTGCTATTTCTGGGATATGTTGCCGATTTGATTAAGAGTGATTTTGGGGTGGTTGCAGCACCGGCCTTTTATTACTTCATATTTTTTTTTACTTTACTGTCTTTCTTGCATGCACGTGTGCTTGAATTGTTTTACCGCAACTTTTTTTTTTATTTTGTGGATTGTCCGGAAATAATGCAGATCATTTAGGCTATCTAATGATCTAAAATTGTAAATTTTTTTACAAAATCCTAATAAAATTTGAAGACTAATTATAATTTAGGATTAAAAGATTAAAAATTTTAAAATCTGCCTTTTACTTTCTTGCACGGCCTTTGAGTCGGTATTAAAACAGGTTGCATAGCATGTATATATTTCAAGTCATACTGATAGGGCCTCCACGTTTACAAATTGAATAAACAACTGTATCGTTTGCATGTCCTAAGGAGAAGCCCCCGTGGTTATTCAACCCAACTTGTCCTGCATAGATTTTTAGTTAGGTCGCCCTTAGATCATTAGAAGGCTCCCCGACCGAGACGGGGTGCAAGTTATTTTATCTGGAGCGTTTCCAACTTTGTAGTTAAACCTCCCTTTTTCTTTTTTTCCAGCGGCATCATCGCTACTTTGGTAGGTATAAGTCACACCTTTTAGAGCTCCGCCTAATAATCATAAGATAGAATTTCGTTCATTTGACTTTAGGGCTACCGATGTCTTAGCAGACAACACAATTCATGAATTTATCCTATGTCTTTATGGTTCAGATGTGCTTTGATGTATCGGGATTCCTCGTCGGGATTATTCGATTATTTCGCTAAATGTATATGTCGATAAGCCTATTACCCATGTGAGGACCGCGAGAGACTCACTCTCTATAAGGTGGCTTAATGGGAGTTCTGAAAACATGGGGGCATTCACCTATGAAATAACTATCATTTGATAGCCCTGTACTAATTATCACTATTAATGTAAGCAAAACTCTTTTGGATCAAGAATATTCTTGAGCAACACTCAAGATGTAATTAACTAAGTGAAATAAGCTATATTGGGAGCACTACAGACCCCATAACATGCAAACAAACTTAAATCTCTAGTTAGAGTTTGTCTACTTATATATTCTTTCGCGGATATTAGTCTAATTTGTCTCCGCCTTATCTTATTTGGGCAGATATACTTAACTTATCATTGTGAAAATTATCGCACATAGGCTCTCCATGTTTTTTTCTCTTTGTATGTCTTTTTCGTTGTATATTCCTGTTTTTTTGATTCTTTTTTTTTATGTAGATCATTCTTATGATCCGAAAGAAAGACTTATTCAAACAAGAGAATTGTACGACGACAGATAAGCTGACCAATCCTTCAAAAATAAAAATAAAAAAGAAAAAAAGAAACAAAAACAAAAAAAGGGAAATTAACACATAAAATCTCATCCGGAAAACGTAATAGGTACAGAAAATCTCATCCGAAAAGCACGACAACCACATAGAAAAACTCCTCTAGAAAGCGCAACAGTAGCATAC